TGGCCCTTGGGGTCTCTTCCAACTCTATGATTCTATGGTTCTATGATCAGTGGCTTACCTTTGGATGGGAGAGGATACGACTAACTGGCACAGTCCTCTCGCCTTCATCCAGCTTTGTCAAGTCGTAATCACCCAGAACCACAGACCAGGCCAACTCATTTCTGCTTCTGTGGGAGGAAAAAGAGGAGAAGGTTAAAAACGTGACCCACTTGGTGCCCCAGAAGAAGCAAACCTCTTGTTTCTAGCGCTACTGGGACAGGACAGGAAAAGAGATTCCACCTAAAGATCAAGAATACGTTTCCTTGGAGGGTGGTGGAGGCTTTTCCTTTGGAAGCTTTTTAACAGAGGCTGAATGGCCACTTGTCAGGGGTGCTTTGAATGTGTCTTCCTGCATGGCAGAATGTGGTTGGACTGGATGACCCTCAGGGTCTCTTCCAACTCTATGATTCTATGATTCAGCTTACTGAAACCCTACCATAAGATTTTCTTGGCCAGATTTCTTCATAAGAAGTTTGCCATTGCCTTCCCCTAAGGCTGAGGAAGTGTGACTTGCACAATGCTAACTAAGGAGGTTCCATGGCTGAGAAGGGATTCGAACCCTGGTCTCTCAGAGTCCACAGCTGGACAATTCATGGCCTTCCAGGTGTTGTTGGATTGCATCTCCCATCATCCATCCCTCAGCTATGCTCATGAGCCTTCCTGGGGTTGGAGTGGATGGCCCTCAGGGTCTCTTGCAACTCTGTGATCCTGTGATTCTTCTAAATTCTGTGCAGCTTTGGTTGATGCTTACTATCTCATGATACACGATGACAGTGTTGTAACATAACCAACAAGGTAACCAATGACCTAGAGAAGTGGTGGGGTCTCCTTCTCTAGATGTTCTCAAAAAGAGACTGGCCAGCTTCCTGATGGGAAGCTTCAGCGGAAGATTCTGCATTGATCAGGGATTGGGTCCAATATGAGGAGCCCCTTCCAACTCTTCTGGGGCTCTAGTCTAGGATTTTGCCTGGATCCCATCATCTTTCCCTCTGTGCTTTGCCCTGTTCCCACCAGGGGGCGGCAAAGACCATTCCTGAGCAAGGGACTGAGGAAAGGTGGGGTTTTTTTGGGGGGGGGGGGCTTCTATCAAAGTTGGGAAGAGCAAGGACAAGGAGGATTCCAATAGATTGGACACATTTGCCTAGCCTAGTTTTCTGAGTGCTGGACTACAACTTGGGAGACCAGGGTTTGATTTCAAGCTTGACCATGGAAACCCACTGGGTGACCTTGGGCAAGTCCCACTCTCTCAGCCTCAGGGGAAGACTAGGGCAAACCTCCTCTGAGCCAATCTTGCCAAGAAAAACCCATGATAGGGTTGCCATGAGTCACAAATGACTAGAAGGTACACAGCAGCAGCAGCAACAAATCTATCTATCTATCTATCTATCTATCTATCTATCTATCTCCCGAATCCTGTATCAGCTACTTAGTGAAGTTTCTGAAATGCCATAATATGTTTGCCTTAGGGTCACCATAAGTTGGAAACAATGTGAA